TGTGTGTGTGTGTGTGTGTGTGTGTGTGTGTGTGTGTGTGTGTGTGTGTGTGTGTGTGTGTGTGTGTGTGTGTGTGTGTGTGTGTTTGTGTATGTGTGTGCGTGCGTGTGTGTATTCTGATATTACCGTTCGTAAAGACTACAAATCAATGAGAGCGAAATACACCTATATATATATAATATACTTATTAATGTGTTTATTATCAATGTTTTCATTGCTGCATTCACTCATGCAAACTAACCAAAAGTAGACGAAAATAACAATCAGTGAGATCCGATGATCCTGCCATCTATCGGCACGCGATGTAACACATTTTTTCACATTCAGCGTGCGGCGGTTCGGGACATGATCGGACACGGTCTATGTGTGCACGTACACTACGCATAACTATTGTGACGGGGGTAACTACCCGTGTAACTGAATGTCTGTCTGTCTAATCACAAATACTGCAGCGTAGATCTGCCAGCGCTATGCTTCCATTCCTCGCCCCGCGTTCGTGCCTCCCCGGATGTCGTATCCATGGCGACGGATTTGTTTACGCTGAAACGTAACCGGTAATCAAAATTAAGACGTAGGACGCATATAGACGCATTCAGTATTTAATGCGGCAGTTTCTCGATGGAAATCCGTTTTCTTAATCACAATAATGTATATTAATTTAAAATGTGAATGCGTAATTATAGAAATTTGTAGGTAGATATGCTATTATTTAAGCACTTACTATCATAATATACTCTAAAATCCTAGGGGAAGGTTTTTTTTATATATAATGTATGTGTTATAGGTAACACAATGCGCGGTATGTCATAAAGGATGTGTGTAGTGTGTGTATTAGAGATCTCGTACTCACAGCACTTGTAGAGTACGCGTGCGTATTTCGTGACACCACGGCACGGATCCGGTCCCAGATTTGCCGTATTTGCCTCTATCTCACACGATCTGTCAATATATGTCATTACTATTCAGTCACCGGATTACAACCAAGTATTGTCAAACTTTATTCCAACGATTGATAACGCAAGCAATAGCTTTTTTTGCAATTTAATAAAACGCATCTGAGAGCTACTATTTAAATTCAGTTGAACAAATAAAAATACAACAACAAACGAATTAAATTCAATCGCGTGAAAAAAGCTAATTATTGACTGTAGTAGAACTGAAAATTCTTGTAATTGAAAAAAAGGCAAGACAACTGACTATATCCATACCTGCGTCCGTCACATTCATCTTTGATATCGTTCAGCTTCCTTGAGGATATCTCTTCAAACGTACAACTTCTGTTGCTGGTAGACCTACAATATCACCACAGTGTCGACTATCATTTCTCTCCCTCCCCCTCTCTCTCTCTCTCTCTCTCTCTCTCTCTCTCTCTCTCTCCTTCTCTCTCTCTCTTACTCTCTCGCAGTAACGCACCCATCCATCCAGACGGAGAGAAAACGTGACGCGACAAACCCGCTGCAGATATACAACAGCTATAGCAGAGGCTGTGTATATAGTATATAATATATATAAATATATATATATATGTATTATAGGGGGAGACGGGTAAAGTCGGCAGTCATTGACGGAATATAGCGTATATACCATAGTTTTACCATACTCTACATACTAAAGCTTTATCGTAACCTGAAGGTTTATAATAAGGTTAAAATCGATAATATAATCGTATATTAATGAAGCGGCGACTTAATAGCGTTAATGATGATGATAATTAATTAGTCGTTGAATACGTAATAAGACCGGTCTAGTGCCTCAGGAGCTTCACACACGCGTGGGCTTTATCGCTTTATCGACCACCGAAAACAATATTGACGGGTCAACAACAATTTACGACAACATTCACGCAACATGGTCGATGTCTGCCGAAAATGTGATGAATTTGTTGACGTTGTATTTCTAAATTTAGACAGCAGGGGTTGGTAATTGAGACAGCGGGGAACCCTAACCCGTACCCCGGAGTAGGGTGACGTGAAGAATGCGCTTATATACCGACGTCTCATCTCAATTTACAGCATCTGCCAATAAGGTGGAGGCGGATCGTTGCAATGATGCATGCATCGAGGAGCTATTGTTGATTCTGTCCGGTCTATTCCCTGCGCGGGCCCTTCGGCATCTGTTTTTGTAATGGGACATTGTGTCAGATATTTATCATAACAAACTTATCTGAGCATTAGTTTGGAGCCGGTACTCTAGTTTAAATACACGATTTTAGCGCGATATGCTTGCTTTCTGTACAAGGCGGGCATGTGCGAATCGCAATCGTAGCTCGAACAATTAATATAAAATTAATATGAATTTAATATGATAGCACTCGGTGATTTCGAGGTCCGCGCATGCTCAGTATCTGCCGAAATAAAATATTATTATTCGGCCGACGTTATACATGTAAAGTGGACGGAGGGTACGCCTGTGTTTTATAAATGTCCATCCAAGCGACTAATTCGTGATTCAACCAGATGCAACTAAGTATAGCAAAATTAAGTTTCAACGTTTCGCTATAATACCAGGAGTGTATAATATTGGAGTAATCGTTTTGATGATTACTCCAAGATGACCCTGATTACATCAGAATGATTACTCCAATGTATAATATAGATTATTCTATATTATACACTCCTGATAATATAATATTGGGAAGACCTGCACCGGCATGATAGGCAATTAATAAGATATTTCCCCTGAACAGCGGCAATAGAGACAAGTATCGTCCGCGGCATATGCGGTAACGCCATCTGTTGGCGTTTATTGTAGTCTTACGCCTAATGCGTCTTCTTGCTAGCTTGTAGGCATTACCGTTATCTTATCAAATAACGAACTTATCAATATCTGTGAAATAGAAGCACAGTCAGTATGCACGCGTAGACAGATAGTCGATGTGTGTGTGTGTGTGTGTGTGTGTGTGTGTGTGTGTGTGTGTGTGTGTGTGTGTGTGTGTGTGTGTGTGTGTGTGTGTGTGTGTGTGTGTGTGTGTGTGTGTGTGTGTGTGTGTGTGTGTGTGTGTTTGTGTATGTGTTGTGTGCGTGCGTGGTGTGTACTTGCTGATAACCGTACGTAAAGACTAATCATAATGCAGAAGCGATATACACTATATATTAATATAATATATAATATAATTATTAATGTGTGGTTTTTATCAATGTTTTCATTGCTGGCATTCACTCCATGCAAACTAACCAAAGGTAGACGAAATAAATGCAATCGTTGAAGATCCGATGATGTCTGCCATCTTATCGCACGCGATGTAAGTCACATTTTTTCGACGATTTCAGGCGGTGCTGTTGCGGGACATGGATCGAACACGGTCTATGTGTTGCACGGTAGACCCTAGCTACGCATATCTAATTGTGAAGGGGGTAAGCAACGCCGTGTAACTGACTGTCTGTCTGTCTAATCAGCAAATACTTGCAGCGTAGAGTCTGCCAAGCGCTGATGCTTTCCATTTCCTCGCCCCGCGTTCTGCCTCCCGGATGTCGTATCCATCGGGCGAACGGAGATTTGTTTATCGCTGAAACGTAACCGTAATCAAAATTAAGACGTTAGGACGCATATAGACGCATTAGTATTTATCGTTATTCAGTTTTCTGGCGAGTGAATGCCGTTTTTCTAATCACATATAATGTATATTAATTTTGAATGTGAATGCGTGATTATAGAAATTTGTAGGGTAGATATGCTATTAATTTAGCGTTTACTATCTAATATACAATCTAAAACGCGAGGGAGAAAGTTCCTTTGATATATAATGTATGTTTTAGGTAACACAGGCGGTATGATATAAAAGGATCGTTGTAGTGTGGTATACGAGATATTGTACTGCCAGCACTTGTAGAGTACGCGTAGCGTTTTCGTGACCCAACGCACGGATCCGGTCCTCGACGCCGTATTTGCCTGCTAGTCTCGCCACGATTGTGTCAATAAATATGTCATACTATTCGTCACCGGATTACAACGTCAAGTGATTGTCAAACTTTATTCCAATGATTGATAACCAAAGCAATAGCTTTTTTTTGCAATTATAATGAAAACGCATCTGAGAGCTACTATTTCAATTCAGTTTGAACGAACAATGCACACAGAAAAAGAATTGAATCATCGCGGTTGAAAACAAAACAAATTTAAATTGACTGGTAGAAGCGAAACTTCTTAGTAATTGAAAAATAAGGGGGCAAGAGACTGTATATATGATACATACCTCGCGCTCGTCACATTCATGCTTTTATATTTGTTCAGCTTCCTGGAGGATATTGCTTCAATACGTACAAGCTTCTGCTGCTGTAGACCCTACAATATCCAACAGGTCGACATCAGGGGACTAATATCATGTTGGAAGATCACATCATGTGACCACCATCATCATTAGGTTTAACCAAGGAGTCTGTCTTGATAAGAGGTGACAACACTGACATCCCTATCTAACGCTGTATTGTAATCATATAGTCTTTGGTTTTACGTAGTTAGTTTGGCAAACGAAGATTTTTTGCTATGCGATTCGCATGCAGTATTGATATATATTATATTTTGAGTCCAACTTTGTCTCTTTCCGTTTTCGTTATTGTTCCTTAGACGTAAGAGACTTATATATGTAGGAGGGTCACGAGGTGGATTGCTCAGCGTTCTGCTCATTGTTCCTCGATGCTCACCTGTTTTATGCAGGTGACATCTACCATTCCTATGAGAGGACTAGACGATTATTAATACATGTAGGTAAGCTATATATTACATAATTATACAGTAGACAATTATCGTACAGAGTATATGACTCCATAGAAGGGCGTCACCTGTTGTGTTCTTACCTCTCGTGGCAGACGTCCTCGCTGTTAGACCGCGGCCGTAATATGACTGCCGTTACGCATTATCCGCTGCCGGGGTTTTACATGCGATATCGTGTCCTTGTCTCCTCACCAGATGTCGAGAGTCTTAGAGGTGCGAGATGACGAAGGAGGACCGTGTAGCCCGTGCGACAGTCGGACCAAACTTGCCTGTGCTTTCGCCGTAGAACAAGTGCCGCGCATTGTTGACACGGATCCGAGTCAGACAATCGTCAGACCCGTTCGAAGCCTCTGCGACGGATGATGATGATGATGATGATGATTGTGAGCATGAATAAAATAAAGGAATTATGATTATTAATGATGTATTATAAAATAGCTGTTATGATATGTAATAGTAGGTGTATAAGGTTGGTATATAGACTCATTAGCACTAATGTTATTATATTCTAGAGGAGAAGCGGTCGCGAAAGTGCACTTAAAAACGGCGACATAATGATGGATGACGTCGACGTGATGATGACGTCGACGATGATGGATGAGGTCGACGATGATGATGAAGCGAGGATTGACTGGATTGACGTCGCGATGATTGAGACGTCGATCGATTATGACCGACGGCGTACGATGGATGACAGCGAGTGCGAACGACGCATGATGACGACGGCCGACGATGATGACGACGGCGAGATATGAGAGCGGACGTCGAGCAATGATGAACGTATCGGGATGACGAGGCGACGATGAATGAAAACGGCGCGACGATGACGACAGCGAGACGACGATGACGAACAGCACAGACGATGACGACAGCGACGTACGCCGCTCACCTTGACTCGCAGTAGTAGGTCGCGGTGTGCTCGCTGCAGTCACATCTGAACCTCGTTCCCCAGGAGTGCGGTACGCACGTTCCTCCGTTCTTACACGGCGACGAAGCACAGATGTCGGCTGCAGATATAAACGCGCTACATGGAAACACCGGAACGGACCGGAACCCGTGTCGATTCGCATCGAAACGGAGAGTTTAAACTTTATAGCTTTACTTTAGATTTAAGTCTTAAATATAAACATCAAACTCGCGTGGTATGTAGCTATTAATTAATGTTATTACTAGAACTAGGAGCTATGCCTAGTCAGTGCTATCATGTGATCAGTCCTTTATCGTATTCTTACGTAAGCTCTCATATTTTATCTTGTAACCTATCATTAACAGTACCTCCGCCATTTTCCTCTCTGTAGTTACATTTTATATTAGTTAGTACAAGTTAAACTATTTTATTTACCGTACATGACAGCGCATGCAGCAACATGGCTTCAGTAGTGTGATGTCTTAATACCCCTAGAGAGGGAGCCACTTGTTCAGGAACGAGAATAGAAGAAAGCGCTCGCGCGTGTATAAAGTCCTCTCGGTAAACCGCATGTGATCTAGCTTTTATCATCGTGAGAGTAAATTAACGGGTTAGCTTAATAAACAGCGGTTTGTACTACATCGATTCGTTCTTGCTCTTGACTTGACTTTTATTGCTTGTTTAATGACGGGAATGTAAGAAAGCGCGCGCGCGTCTTTATAAAGACCTACCGGCAAAACGCATGTGACTTCATATCATCGCGAGAGTAAATTAACGGTAAGTAATTAAGAGTAATTAAAATAAACTTAATAAACAGCGGTTTGTACTACACCGATTCGTTCTTGCTCTTTACTTACTCTTTAAGTATGTTATAAGAGAAATTTGATTTACGAACCAATAATGCATCTACGAAGCGTTTGCCAAATATATAAATATCGTTATATCATCTATTCGAATGTTCTGTCACCAGGTTTGAATCAGTATCTTAATCTAATTAATAGTCCATCTCCCGAAAGTGAATCAAATCTATTAACGCATGTGAAGTCTGATTCCGACGAGCAAGTGCATGCTGCAGAAATATCCATCAGAGGGCGTTGGATGCGCACCCGAACTGCGACCGTCGTAAAACGTGATGAAATCAGAAGTGTCAGTGTCATAATAAATTATATTATATTATCTATATTAAATTATATTATATTATCTATATTAGTCTACATTATGACAGTCACACTCATGATGAGATGACGTCATAATCGTGAGATGACGTAGCGACGTTGTAGCGACTTACGGTCGTCGCAGAGTTTTCCTGTCCAGCCACTGCGACACGAACACCGGAAGTCGTCGCCATTCTCACTGCAGCGTGCGTTGTTCAGACACGGGTTCGGATCGCATCCAATACCGACGCCTGGTCTACCTGTGTGCATACGTCACGGGGTCAATGAAAAGGTCAGCGTGGAAGAGGTGTTCGACGAGGTTAACACGTAAACATGAAATGTATACGGAAATAAAGGCATAGGGAAATAAATAAATGAATAAAGGATGAATGAATAGATGAACGAAAGAAGTAAATAAACAAATAATTAAAATGATAACAAAATAACAACAAAATAAAACAAATAAATGTTTTTTTGCTCTCCACCGGCCACTTCTCGTCATTTTAAACTTACGTATTTGGCACAACCTGCCCACGTATCCCCACGGACAGACACAGTAGAACTTATGGCCCCATTCCTTGATGCAGGTGGCGCGATTCTGACACGGATTAGATCGACAAGGGTCCATATCTGAAGAAAAGATATATATG